TTGCATACATCGCACGGTACAGGTTACGAATTCCTCGGTATTTACTGGCTCTGGCGCGTTTTAAAGTAGTGGTCTTCGACGGGGGCGGAACTTTATGTGGTTCCCCCTAAGACCCTCCACACAACAGTAACTAGATAGTCTTCCAGCCCGAAAATACGACCCAATGCATACAATTCCACCCCCGTCGACTACCACTATTTTCAAGCTTAAAATGCGCCAGAGCCTGTAAATACCGAGGAATTCGTAACCTTTACCGCGCGATGTGGCATTTATTTTTTTGTCACCCGAAATCGTGCTTATACCACACGTTTCCTAGCACTCAAGCAAAGCGTAGCACTTTTTTTACCTACCCAAAACAACCTTAAAATGTGCTTAAAACTGTCGTGAGAACACAACTTCACCAAAAAGTCAACGACGAAAAACCATGCGGCGGGATGTTTTTGCAAGGCTGACATGGCATAAATCGCTGCGCAGATCCCGCTGTCACTGCAGTTTCTCGTCAGCACAGGCTCCTCGGATCCTTCCTCCTGCTGATGAGCTGCAAACGCGAAGGCAGTCCGTACAGCCTATTGTCTTTGCTAATCCTGCTCGTCCAGTATCAGCCCTAGCCGTGCCGGCCTGGCAAGTTCACATGCGAGGTTACAATTCTTCCTGACCGACATTAGCCGAAATCCGCAGCGGCTTGTTCCACCCTGAGACCTGAGATCCTTCTGAGATATGCACATCGCCGCTTCTCTTTTCACGACCATGGGCAGGTGACGCACGTCGAGCGCAGGCGGGCTCGCTCGTGCATCTTGTATTCGGTATTTAGATTGAGGCTTGTACATCTTGCCCAATCTAGTTCTGCAATGCAGCTGAGCAGAAGAGGCGTGCCGACAAGACGGCTGCATCCTTCATGTAATTTGCCAGCAGTATGGGCATGCCGTTGCGGGGAGTTTCCTTTCTTGAGCTCAGTGACACCGAGGTAAGCCGCGGCCTTTGTGAAACACCAGCCACAGTAGCCTGTAGTGTGCAGACATTTGCAGCTTGCAAAGCAGGCCATGCCAGTGCCGTGTTGCGTGTGTAGCAAGATCAACTCAATCTTGACCGATGCTGTTTAAAGTCTTCTGGGCCTCGGGGTGCTTGCCCACGAATGTTGTCAGAGAATCTGGTTGAAAGCCAGTTGAAGCAAGCACCTTGACCTCATTCCGGTGGGTCGCACAGCAACGCCTGGTGCGCCTGGCAGAACCTGGTAGATAATGTACATCTTCGCCCTCAGCTTCTCGCTAAGCGAGCTGGCCGATCCATGCCAAGCATGGGATCAAGTGTTCAGATCTGTTCAGATGCTGTGGCGACCGGCAAAAGCGTGGTGATGTGGGCTGGATGCTGACAGCCTGAAGTCCAGGGGTTGGGCCTGTAGGACTTGAGCGGCCGGTGCCACTGCAAGATACTCTGCTGCCGTGTCCACTCAAGATCTTTTTACTTTTGTTCCCACAAAGTGCTTTCCATCAAGAAACGCAAGATGCAGCTGCCTCAGCCGGAATGCCAAGATGCTGGCTAGTGGCTCTTTGCCTTCTGCAGCCTTTTGAACATGTTCAGGCTTTTGAACTTCCGCGTCGTCGTCCTGGCTGTGCTTGCATGGCAGGGAGCTGCAAAGGCCATGTGGAGCTACCAAAGAGTACCCTTTGTCCCTTTCCCTCCCCCCGTGCTCTCTCCCCTTTACCCGAGAGACAGTTGCGCATGGCATGCATGGCCTGTTGGATGAGGACCTCCTCCAGAAGGGCGCCCTGAACGCAGACGACGAGTGCGCTGAGGGTGAAAGCTGCGGGCTCAATGCCCTGCAGCTCAGAGGCGCGGCTGAGAGGGAGGGATACAGTCGGAGTCTTCACGGCTTGAACACGGGAGGCGCCTCTGTCGGCGTGCCTATTGTCGGGGACGTCATCGATGAGCTGGAGGAGCCTGTGTCTATCACATCGCTTATCCGTAGCAACGTGGCGTGTCAGGATCCAGATGACGAGATTGAGGAGGCCGATGAGGAAGATGAGGATGAGGAAAAGCCGGCAAGTGCCACTGTGACGCAGCCACAGGCGACTCCAGAGGCCGAGCAATCAGAGGAGGACAAAGATGATGAGAAGGAGGAGGATGAGGAGCAGGAGCAGGAGCAGGAAGAGCAAGAGGCGGGGTGTCACGGTGTATTGTCGGGGCCAGGGTTGTAGAGGGCTGCTTCGCGAAAGGATCCGGTGACAACAACAACGAATGCCGGCGAACCTCATCCCGAGGACCAGTGGGTTTTCGAAGAGCACGCAGCGCAGGATTTGCAGACGGTAGTAGCAGGTCGCCACTCGTTTTGTGACTCAGCAGGATGCGGTCTGTGCAAAACCCGACCAGCAGTGTGGGGGCCAGTGGTACTATGGGCCCGCTTGCTGCACTCACGGACACATCTGCTACGAGGCTCCGACTGATGTGTTGGAAAAGTCAGAAAAAAACAAGGCGGCAGCACAATCAGTGCCCCAATACCTGGCTCGCTGGTCTCAGCCTACACTGTAGATACTACTTTCGCTTTCTTCCTGCACAGAAGTCCTTGATGTGGCTGCGATGTAGGTGAACCAGTACTACTCGCAGTGCGTGACCCACGAAAAAGCCGAGGACGATGGTCAGCAGTAAATCCTGTAAGGATTATTCAGGCACTTGAGGCGTTTGAGGCCAGGGGTTGAGGAAACTACTGTACTGAAGGGAAGGTGGGTGTACCAAACGTCACCAAGCAGTCGGACATGCATCGGCGGTGTGCATGTTGGTTGGATGAAATGTAGATGTTGCTGTGACGGTGTTTCGAATTGATGCATGGGAGGATGGATTGGTGAGTGTATGCACCGCAAGCTGCACTCGTTTTCCTCCGTGTTTTTCGGCCTCGAGGAGATGGCCAGGCTGGAAAACATGACGACCACCACCACGACAACCACCAATGCAGATCCGCAGCACTGCCGAGTGGGTTACGAGTTTCTTGGCCCGCAGTTTCCGCGCTGCAATGCGCTTGGACAGGAATTATGAGGTTATGAGGGTTCCCGTCGTGATTGACGCGAGTACGTAGCCATTATCCTCCAGGCAATGTGGTGGTTATGACAAAGCTACCGGAACAAATTACTCCGGCACCACATGCTGTCACGCTGGCTTCTATTGCAAGGAGGCGGTGCTGAGCGAAAGTGACAGCAGTGTAGCAGACTGTGGGGAGCCCTGTCAGACCGACGACTACTTCTCCCAGTGTGCTCCCGTCGATCCTTGGGCCAAGCTAAGGCTCAGGCCTTTTGACATACTGCTGGGTCAAGAAGCTTCTTCAGGATTTACTTCGGACAGTCTGGTTCTTGGACGAAGGGCCGGTCAGAATCAGCTTGGAAGTGCAGACATATTCGGGTTTTGGTAGGTCTTGCGGGGGCGCGCAGTCCGAGCGGCTGGATGCCCACAACTCACAAACGGAGCAGTGTTTTTGCAAGTTCATGGCGGCTCTGCATGCTAAGCTGCTACACCCTGTTTCAAAGAAGAATCACGTTTGTCTTCGCTCCAACTTCCCAGTCGGAAAGAGTGTGATCACTACGTTGCTCAGGGCGCGCAAGCTAAGTTCAGAAAAAGCAATAGGTTTAGGGTGCAGGGTCGTAGGGTGCAAGCCTTTAAGAAGGTCCTAATGAACAAAGGACCGGAACAGCTCCTTCATGCCGTACAAGCCGACGGAGAAGCTGGAGGCAGCAGCATGCTTATGAGTCTGTATATCAATGCATTTCTGATATCTATGTACAAATGTACATACACGTATGTACGTATGTATGTATGTATGTATGTATGTATGTATGTATGTATGTATATGTGTATATATATATATATGTATGTATGTGTGTACGTACGTAGGTATGTATGTATGTATGTATGCATGCATGTATGCATATGTGTATATATACATATATATATATGTATGTATGTATGTATGTATGTATGTATGTATGTTTGTTTGTTTGTTTGTTTGTTTGTTTGTATGCATGGATGTATGTATGTATGTATGTATGTATGTTTGTTTGTTTGTTTGCTTGTTTGTTTGTTTGTTTGTTTGTTTGTTTGTTTGTTTATGTTTATATATATATATGCATATGTATACATAGGCTTTCATTTTTTTATGTTGGTACACATATATGCATATTTAAGGGGCTGCGCCCAGAGTCGGGCAACGCAGGCAGTTCATTCATTCATGCATTCCTTAATTAATTCATTCCTTCCTTCCTTCCTTCCTTCCTTCCTTCCTTCATTCATTCATTCATTCAATCAATCCATCACTCAATCATTCAATCATTCAATCATTCGTTCATTCAATCATTCAATCATTCATTCATTCACTCATTCATTGGGCGGGGGGCAAGGAAGGGCCTGATCCCGCCTCCTGCCCTTCCCGCCCTGGCCAGCATCATGAGCATGCGTGCGCGCGCGCGTTCCTCCCCCTGCCGCCTCCGTGGCCAGCATCATTGCGCACGCGGGGGAGCCACCTTTGAGGCCTTCCAGTGAGCATCATCAGCATCATTGCGCGCGTGCGGGCACTAGTTTGAGGCCTTCCGGTACCCTTCCTGACCTGCGAAAACATCGGCTTGCGCCTGCCTGCGCCTGATGGGCCGCTGCACACGCGCCGGGTGCTCATGATGCTCGCCGCGTGCCGCCCAAGTGTCGCGCGCCGGTGCCCCAAAACACGCCATAGCATGGGGAATGGCCGCAAAACGTGCGCCTTGCCGGGTAAGCCTCCCAACCAGGCCCCGCGCGGCCCGATGGAAAAACAAGGGTCCAACGATGCTTGTTCATAAGCGGGTCGGCGGCATTGGCTTCCGACCTCTTAGCTGAAGCTAGCGCCATGGCCTGCGGCAGCAACCCCAGGGCGTTGCTCGACTTAATGGCTGCCGCCATTGCCGCCGACCCCCAAAGAGCACTAGAGGTCCTGGATTCCATTTTCCGGTTTAGTGTTCAGGGTGGCAGGGCGCGAGAGCCCCTGTCTCATAGCCCTCCATTGCCGTTCCACTCTGGCTACCCTCCTGTATCAGAACATGGTGCCACATGAGGTCGTTATAACGAGATGCGCAGGTTTTCCAAGACGCACAGAGGACATTGGCATTTTGCAACAGGAAGGAGAGGCAGGTGCACAGTCTAAAGTGATGCCCCGATAAAGCCAGCACATTGTGGATTTACGGGTGAATCGTTGGTGAATCGTTCCTTTGCCGATGCTGCCGGTGTCAGCAACCATGCCCTCGATTCAGCAACCTTGGTTCAGAAACCAGCAACGGCAGTTCAGAAACGACAAACAGACGATTCAGCAACCATTCGAGTCACCATCCAAATCATGCTCAGCTTGGATTGTTTCGGTCAATCAAAGGAGGTATGCGCTGCTAGGTAACAAACAGATCTACAAAGCCATGTTCCAAGTTAAGTTACCACCAGCAGCAGCCAAAAAATTCACTTGGATGGCAACCTCTGCGCTTCCGCGATTAACCGGATCGCAGCCACCCTTTCCACCTCCTTCACCGTTGTGGCTCAAGCACACATGTCGGCTCAAACCCTGTCCCTAAACCCTAAGACCCTATGCCTTAAATCTACAATTTTGAAATTTTCCCGGCCATCAAGATGCTCGCGATGTGCATGATGCTCATGATACCTCATGTTTATGCTCATGATGCCAAAAAACGGAGCAATTTGCCCCGAGATGCCTCAGGGCACATATTTGCCTCGGGATGTTTTATATTGTGCTGTGTATCAAAAATGCCCCTGTATGTCGAGTCAATTTTTACATGCAGTTTTCATTGGGGGGTCCGTGGAAGGGTGCCCTGTCCCAATGGGGGCCTGCACCTGGGCCTGGGGCCCCCTCTGCCCAGCCAAGTTTTATCGGACTGGGCGGAAGGGAGCTTTACTGTAACTAGAGATAACAAAACTGTCCTGAAACTTGCTGCTGCGTAACAATCCAAAATGGCTAAATGGGTGAGCCTGGCCTGATGAGGACCCAGGCCACCCCCCGGTTGGCAGCCCACGGTAACCACTTGCGCCGGGGTCGTTTTTGACAGTTTAGGGACCCTAATCCCCAGCTACCCTAACTAGAAAATGGAACTGATGCTCATGCATGCTCGCCTATCTTAGTAAATCCTGCAGTATCTGTTTCGCTCGGTTCCTCTTGACTAAGTGTGGGGCCCGGCCGTAACTGCAACGGCTGCTTGGAAACATGGTTCTTCCAGTGAAGTGGACCGCCGTTTGAGTGAACTATGGGCGAGGAATCCCCGCGTACTCGCAAGGGGGCAAACTGCTAGTGTTTAGATTGCCCAGGTTATCTGGGGTCGCATAGCGGAGTGCGGGTGGGGGGTTGGGCCTGCCTTGGG